AAGGGTGGCTCTATAGGACCCATCAAGGGATCCACCCTAAAACAGGATATCGGGGCCAGTGCTAAGGGGACCAGCTGATTCTGCAGGAAACTACAACATTTGAACATCAAGGGGCCTCTATTGTAATTTATTTATTTTGCCTTTGAAATAACTTAAAGAAGAAGGCCGGATTTTTTTTTTATTTACCCTTCTAGTGGGCTACCCTCGCACTGCAAGGATTAAGTGTTTGTGTCTAGGTTAAAAAAAAGTTATACTCACCTGAAGCTCTATGCCGGCTTCTTCTGAGACCGATTCTTCCATCGTCTCTCCCCTCTTCTGCAGCAGTCTCGTCTCTCCCCTCTTCTGCAGCAGTCTAAGGCCCCGTAAATCATCACGTCTATACACTGTGTATAGATGTGAGGACACTGAGGAAGATTCCAATGCTGCTGCTGCAGAGGAGACAGACTGGAGGGAGCGCTGTGACAGCTCCCCGTGCCTGTGCCTCATACCTTCCCTCCATTCCAGCACTGCAGCCTCTCGCAAATCTGTGTTGAAGCCTTCCAGGAGTGATGAATGGTTGTGGTCCCTGCCACGCACCGTGGTTCAATCCTCCACATCATTATACACCTTACAACCATTGTACAACTTTTTTTGTCCAGACATCTCACCCTCGTTCAGTTTTCGTTTAACTAGCCCATCATGCACAGACCAATGTAGTTCGCAATTAACATTCGTCGGCACCACCACCTGGCTGATTTTCATTTGAGCATGTGCAGTTTTCATCTTGAGATTTTTGTTGTACAACCACGCCACTTAAGGTGCGCATACACCTTACGATTATCGTACGATAATCGCATGCGATCGACAATCGTAAGGTGTATGTGTAGTGCCCAACCGACAGTACTGCACAATCGTACGCCTTTTGATGTTCAAGCATGTTGGAAAACTTTGGTCGATCGTACGATTTTCGCATGGTTGGTGGCGTTTCCGTCCGTCAAAAGTCGTACGATTAACACTGCGCATGCGCAAACAAAAATAAGTACGGTCGATTACCGCAATTCGTCCAGGTGTTTTTTTTTTAACTAGTGCTGATTGATCCTTGCGATAATCGGGACATGATGGGGCTGCCATACGACAATCGTGCGACGGTTCGATCATCGGACGAAAAGTTTCGTCGGATAATCGTGAGGTGTATGGGCACCTTAACCTGTTGATTTTCATCCAACTAGAAAAATGTTTTCTGGCCTGCTTGATAGACAAAAATCTGCCAGGTGTACAGTAATTGAGGTTGTTCACTTCCCATCAACTGGCAGATTTTCGGACAAAAATGCAATCGCAGACAACAATCTCCAGATAATTGTAAGGTGTATGGGCACCTCTAGACACAGCAGTGATGAAGGGGTCGGAAAATTAAACTACAGCACACGGCGGGGGACACAAGAATCCAACACTACTGAAAGACTGAAATGACACTGAGATTGATGGAGGCTGTGGTGCTGGAATAGAGCGGAGGTGAGTATACTAGGAAGTGGCCTTTTGATATTTTTTAGGTGGCTGGCAGGGACTTTAAAAAATAAAGAACTAGATAACTCCATTATAGCTTATATCCCGAAATGTCATTTTTAAGGGCTAAGATCCAGGAAATGATCTGCCTGCCTTTGGGGGAGTCGAGATGTATTTTCTTTCCTCCTCCTGTGTGGCATAACTGGTGGCAGTTGTACGGGAAGGGTTTGCTTTGCCTTCCTCTGGACCAAAGAGCTGTAAGAAGATGAACTTTACGAACATCTGACACTTTCCAATCTTATTGGCTATGCAACTATGAATTTACTTAGTGTTCTTAGCAAAAAGTTGAAATAAATTAATCAATGAATTAAAAAAAAAAACATTTGAACTAATTAATTATGAATTGTGTTGATTGTTATTTATATTTAAAGCTGAACTCCAGGCAAACAGCTAAATACACAGAATAAATATTTATAGGGTAACTATTTTTTCTGCCAAAGGATTTCTTTCTGTCCATCCAGTCATGATTTACACAGCTCTGCAACACAACCCTGTCTGGCAGGACAGGAGACCTGATTCGTCTCTGCTGTAGTACAGTAACACAGATTTCCTTCCCACCCTCAGCCTGTGACTGGACAGTTCAATAAAAACAACAGGGTTATAAAATTATCCAGCGTCATTCTGCTCTCCCTGATTGGCTCCTTGTGCTGCTTCTGTTTCCCAACTCTGATCTCTGCTGTGCAATGACTGCAAAAAAAAATACATTTCATGATGTGGTAAATATCCCATGTATGTGACCCATGTATGTGACTGACCTTTTACCATCTGAGCATTCTGCAAGTTTTAATCTTTTCTGCAGCAGTTTGTGAGGAGATTTTGTTGTGTTTTCCTGTTTCTAACACAATATTGTATTTATTACAGAGCGGGGAGGCGGCTACAAGACCACCAATAGTAAGTATCCCCCCATGACCTGTTCTCTGTGTTATTATAGTGTGCGGTGTGTGTAGAATATGTGAGGAGATGAGAAGTCCTGCAGATAATATTACTCTATGATACAAGGAACCTTCTTATCATTGTCCACCTGATGATACAAATAGAAATATCTGATTGGCTCCCCATTGTTGGCTCTGTACAGACTCCTCTATAGTGGGAAGCATGGAGAGGGGAATTTATCAAATCTGGAGCAGCTGTGCATGGCAACCAATAAGGCTCTCTCTTTCATTTTTCAGCCTTAACTGAACAAACTGAAGAAAGCAGCTGATTGGTTGACATAGGCAACTGCTCCATATTCTGTCTGCTCCAGTTTTGATAAATTCCCCCCCAGAGTGTGTTAGGAGGATGTTTTCTCTCTGTACTTTTACATAGCGGAATCATTGTATGATCATCATAATTTTACCAGAATAAATTTGCTCCATTTTATTTTTCAGCTTCAGATACCAATTCGGACTCCTCCAACAACCCAAAAGCCTGAGCGGTGGTATATCATGTAGAGATCAAGACTAAAGCCAAAAGAGGAGATACAGCTTCTCTCTATGCAGATTCAGCCTATTCTACTTTTCATGCGTTTCCTTTTATTGATACATAAGATGCTATGCAGTTTTAAAGAGAACCTGTTATATATTTTAATTCAGTTGCTAGGAATAGCATAAACCTAAAAGAGAAAATTAGTATTTTGCGGTCTATAAGACGCACCGGACCATAGGACGCAGGGAGGTCCGGCGCGCCTTATGGAGCACTCGACAGACTGTAGCTTCTGTCACAGCTTCTATGACAGAAGCTGTGACAGAAGCTGCAGTTAGTGACCGCTGAGACAGGTGGCGCTGTGATTACAGCGCCACGGTCTCAGTGATGACACAGAGCAGACAAAGAACGTCCGTTCTTCGTCTGCTCTATGGTTATCTCGATCGTCGCCGCTGCTCGGTTTTAATACGAGTGATCTCATTAGATCACTCGTATTAAACGAGCAGTGGCTCCTATTGCTGAATACGATCATCGCCGCTGCTCGGCTTTAATACGAGTGATCTCATTAGATCACTCGTATTAAACGAGCAGTGGCTCCTACTACTCGCCCGGCGCCCGAAACTGCATGTCTCGGGCGTCGGGATTCGCTCCATAAGACGCAGGCACTTTTTCCCCCTCCTTTTGGGGGGAAAAAAGTGCGTCTTATGGAGCGAAAAATACGGTAAGTGAAAATTCACTTTGCACGGAATACTCAATAATTTCCAAGTATAATCAAACATGCAGCATTTGCTCCAACATGATTAGTCAGCGCGGGTTCACTAGGCTAGGCTCCTTTAGAAAACCAATCACCGTTGCTTTTTTTTTCTCTCTCTCTAAAGGTGGCCATACACTTTACAGCCCTCACAAGACTTTTGTCTTGCGATGGTTGTAAAGTAATTTAAAAAAACGTACAATCTGCCCATCTTGGACAGGCGGGCTTGTGATGACCGCAATGAGGGGCGGGCTTGTGATGACTGCAATGAGGGGCGACGGGCAGTGTTCAGCAGTTGTCGAACCCGATGGGAATCGTACGATTCTCGGCGGGTTTTCAAGCCTGCTTGTTCGACGGAAGACGTGCGACCGTACAGTAGAAACGGTCGCAATTTTTAAATCGGGCAATATGGCCGGTTCCAGGTTTTTCTGATCCCTTTCACAGTGATCTGTCCCAATGGAAAGTCTTGGGCCTGAAATTTGAAGATTGTTTTTATCGGATAAACTTCATTAACATACAATGGACAAGCCACTTCCCTCACAGCCAATCCTAACATTTAGAAGAAATAGAAGCAAGAATACATTTTAACCCTTAAAACCCTAACCCAAATAAAAGCAATATAAACTGCAGGAAGCATTTTTTATTTTTAGCTCATGCTATGTGAATGGGATCATGTAACAAATATAAAATAGGTTTTATCCCAATTTGGCTGTGAAAGTGGAAATACACTTTAAATGCAGAAGAACTGATCTGTAAGCGTAAAAAATATTTAAATGCACTCAGAGTATCGTATCTGCCCCTGGACCCACATAATACTATTCTCTAAACGCATGTTGTGACTGTTACTATTTCATTCATGACATGCTTCTATGTACATTTAGAAATGTCCTATAAATGAATGTATATAATTGCCTCTGTGAATGAGGACTTTGTGTTACATCTGCATACAGTAGTCCTGAACTATAAAATAATATATCATTTAGTCAAAGCTAATGTCAGTTCTGGGTGGATGCTGCTGAATCTCAAACTGGATGTTCTCAGAGATTCCATTGGCTCTGTCCCTCCTCCCATTAGATACTAATAGTATCCTTAGCATTGTAAAATACAAATTGGGAATTATATTTCCTTTTACCTGTGACATGGTGGGGAAAGTTGGGAACTCAGGGACATAGATCTCTCCTCACTGCACTTCATGTTGTGTGATTCAACCAATTCCCATCCACCCAGATTATCAGATTAGAGTGGACATACCCTCTAATTACATGTTAAATAAATAATATTCTGAGAGAAATAACACGCAGAGAAAAATATTGTCCTAATTACTAAAAAGAGACTGCAATGATTACATTCAGCTGTGTCATGTGATGAAGGACAAATACACTGTCAGTGATTACATTGCACATACTGTTATTATATATTGTACATTGTTGGTTATAATATTTTTCTAAGATCTATAAGCTATCAATAAAACAGAGTGCCTTGTCCCTTGGAGGTGTCTATGTGTACTTCTTTTTTTTTTTTTTCAAATTTTTTATTTCTAGCACGATTTTAAATATAACTTAATGCTCATTATCAGTATATTTTGTTTGGAGTATGTCATCCTTTTTATCTGAACTATTGAGGAACTAGAGAGTGAAAAAATAAGTTTGCTGTTACTGTCACCAACACAGGAAGACCTGATTTACTAAAGGAAGAGCTGGGGAAATTCCTATGGTAAGCTTGTATTGCCACCTCGCATGAGCAAGAAGATGTACACATGCACAGAGATTGCAATCCTAGAACATATCTAGCAAATGTTTAGTACAAACAATGTGACCATAGGAATGGCCATGTCAACATTCACCTGAGAATTAAAGAAGATCTATTCTTAAAGATGCGAACAGCAGTGAGTGAATAGCCGAATGCAAACGATTGTGCGGAGCTAGCAGTGACAGCTAGCTCCAACCAATAGTTTTCTATTGTCCGGCGGCTCTGCTGCTGTCAAAAAAAAAACGAAAAAAAAAAAACTCTCCCAGGCGCTCTGGGAGTCTCTCGCTCCCGACCGCCCAGGAGAGGAGCACCGCTGTGTCCTTTTTTGTTCTTTATTCTGACACGATCGATGTCAGAATAGAAAAAAAAAAGAAAATTTCCCATTGAAAAGCATTGGGACATTTCTATTGGCTATTTCAATTTGCAATAGCCAATAGTAAACTAGCATTGTACCCGCCCTCTGCTGATGGGGAACTGCAGAAGAGGGTGGGTACAATGCTAGTTTACTATTGGCTATTGCAA